GTCTGTCTTTCTTTCTGTATTTTCTTCCTCAGTTTGTGAGCTGCTGTATGCGGTGCAGTGGTGCAGGGAGATGGACTATAGTCCTGCTTTAGTAGCAGAGTACCACACTATGTTGAAGGACTGGGGTCTAACAGACAGAACAGACAACCAAGGACCAGCCACAGATATACTGGACACACTCTACACCAGGTAAACATACGTATCCTATGGTATAGATACACTATGTTGAAGGACTGGGGTCTAACAGACAACCAATCTACTAAGCTAACATATGGAATTGTTTTAAGATGGTCATACCCAGGATCATTTACCTATTTGATTTTTAATTTTAGGACCCATTTAGCTATCATATGTAACAAATAATAAAATAAATAATATTTGATGAAACATTGAATTTGGCCAACAGATTCATACATGGAAAAACAGATCAGTATATATATATATATATATATATATATATATATATATATATATATATATATATATATATATATATTTTTTCTTTTTACCCATATTTAACAAACACAATTTGTCACTAAACTACTTCCATATGTACTTCCATAATTCTTTTTAAACCGGTACCGGGCTACATTCAGACGGGTCTTGTGCGGCTTGTGGGCGTCCTAGAGCAAAACAACCAACATGTACCTGTTCATACGAGTCTCCCCTTTCCATAGAGGGGTGTTGTGTAGCCCAAACGGTTCGTACGCTACGTACAGAAGTTGGCAGCCCAAACTGTTCGTACGCTACGTACAGAAGTTGGCAGCCCAAACGGTTCGTACGCTACGTACAGAAGTTGGCAGCCCAAACTGTTCGTACGCTACGTACAGAAGTTGGCAGCCCAAACTGTTCGTACGCTACGTACAGAAGTTGGCAGCCCAAACGGTTCGTACGCTACGTACAGAAGTTGGCAGCCCAAACGGTTCGTACGCTACGTACAGAAGTTGGCAGCCCAAACTGTTCGTACGCTACGTACAGAAGTTGGCAGATCGGCTGTACCGACATCAAACTTGTCCCGTGCCTCAAAACGGAGAACACCGTCGTGTTCGTGAGTCTCATCTTTCCAACCCCATGCAAAAAACAAAACATGTATCTAGATTAAACAGATGGATTTTGATGGGGAATTTTTTTATGTTGCTAATAAAATGTCAGTGGAGCACGGACATCAACTGTAGAGGGCTAAATTATCTCTTTAATTTGACAAAATAACAATAATAATACAATTGTAAAATAAATAACAATGAAACAAAATAACAGTGTTTCGGTGTCAAGTCTCAATCATAAGCTAGGTTTCCATCCAGTTGATGACAGATCTTCATGTGAATATTCTAAAATCCTGCATAAAAATTATATGCAAATTATTATTCTACAATGTAATAATATAATAATAATATGCCATTTAGCAGACGCTTTTATCCAAAGCGACTTACAGTCATGCGTGCATACATTTTTGTGTATGGGTGGTCCCGGGGATCGAACCCACTACCTTGGCGTTACAAGCGCCGTGCTCTACCAGCTGAGCTACAGAGGACCACATTTTTACTAGAAAATAGTAAAAATAAAGAAAAACCCTGGAATGAGGAGGTGTGTCCAAACATATACAGTATTTTAGTCCCAAAACCATATTTGACATATTTCTTGATATTCTTAAAAATACATGACGCATGACAAGATTGACCAACTTGCTCACTAATTTTCTCCAAAAATCACATCACCTGGTGATGTTTTGTAGGGGTGGGGTTTAAGGCACATTAATTCTACAGTTTTTTGTGTGTGTTTTGGTTAGTGACATCAAAAGTGGGGACAACATTTTTCAGAGAAAGATGTTTAAAAAATAAACAGAAAAAACGAATTAGATCAATATCATTGAATGTAATAGAACCACTACAGATGTTCTATTGAAGTAACAGGACTATGGTCTCCCCTCAGATCACTACAGGAGGGGGGACTGTGGTCTCTGACTCTGCAGAGTTACATACACATCAACCACGTGGCTGAAACGGCTGGCACCATCAATACACTCTGTGGCAGCCCAGACAGGTGAGATATCAGTACTACTTTAACCTTGACAGGTGAGATATCAGTACTACTTTAACCCTGACAGGTGAGATATCAATACTACTTTAACCCTGACAGGTGAGATATCAGTACTACTTTAACCCTGACAGGTGAGATATCAGTACTACTTTAACCCGACAGGTGAGATATCAATACTACTTTAAACCCTGACAGGTGATGATATCAGTACTACTTTTAACCCTGACAGGTGAGATCTCAGTACTACTTTAACCCTGACAGGTGAGATATCAGTACTACTTTAACCTGACAGGTGAGATATCAGTACTACTTTAACCCTGACAGGTGAGATATCAGTACTACTTTAACCCAGACAGGTGAGATATCAGTACTACTTTAACCCTGACAGGTGAGATATCAGTACTACTTTAACCCTGACAGGTTGAGATATCAGTAGTACTTTAACCCTGACAGGTGAGATATC